CCACATTCGTTATAATAAGAATTTGATAATTTTTATTACAACTAGATAAAGAAGCTATGACAGAGTGAACGAAATTCTTTAATAAATTTTAATGAATCATCATTTGATTTCATTTTGATTGTAATTTTCTTTTAACATGATTTTTAAAAAATTAAGAAAGTATTATTTTTTTTTAATAGGTTATTAAGTTCATCTAATGAAGTAACATTCTTTAATTTATTATTATAGTGAGATCGATCATCATTTTCTTAAATTTTTAAAAATATACATAATTGAATTCATTCGGATAATTAATTCGGAAATTCATTCTTTTAAAAAAAAAAGCTATGAAAGGTAAAAGAATTAGCAGATAACCAAATGGCGTGATGACGCAGAAATTAATCAACTATCAATATTATCAAAAACATACCACTACACCAGTTTCACCTCGAACAGTTTAAATTACATATAATATTAACCTGATTCGTTACCTAGTAACTTTATATGAGGGAGTAATTGGTAAACTTATGAAACTTAATGAAAGCAAGCAAAAATACGCCCAATATTACCCACAACTTCAACAACTATTCCGCAAGGACCGGTTGTCTTGAAACACACAGGATCAGGTGGATCAGATGCTTAATAAACATGCACACAGATTTTTTGAGAAATAAAATTTCAATGACGTGAATCTATCATTAATTAAATGAGATTTTATATTCTTAGAAAATTTTAAATGACTAAATGACCGTTAAATTTAATAAATTCGTCAATCTATAAATATTCCATAGTAAAAAAATAAGGGTTTTATTTTTATCGCACCTGCGATATATCGCACCATATAAAAGTCAAAACCAGCATTATAAACCCTTTTAGTATACTAAGTAAAATTTAAAGCAGACAGAAATACGTATACTATAATATGTGTTACAATAGTCAATAGGTACATAAAGGCCAAAAATGTAAAAAAATTGAGAATTAGAAAATCTGGCAAGATCGCCAAAAAATCCAAAAAATAATATAAAAACGCGTTCATTGTTAATGAAAAAAAGTTACGAAGTAAAATAAAGTACATAACTTACTTCATCAATTTCTTCTATTTTTCGTTATGACAAATAAATTGAAGAATGTCATTTCCAATAATATATGTATTAAGAGGAAAAAATAGCTAAAAAAAGTTTTAAAAAGTTTTTGTACCACAAGATGTACATGCCCGATTTTAATATAAATAAGGGGGCTTTTTTCCCTTTTTTATAAATAAATTTTCTTTCTTTTTTTTTATATTTTTTCTATAATTTATTTTTAAAAGTTATGTTAAGATACGTATGTGACATACTGTACGTTTAACCTTACAATAAGTGTAAACGGGTTAGAGGTCAGAGAGGCTTTTTTCGTGGTATTATTTTTTTTTTGCCGTTGATTTATCTGTTATCACCTGAAGATCATATATTACGTAACTATTTTTTTATTTTGTGTACTAAATTTTTTTTCTTTTAAAAAAAGGATTCACTGAATGAACATGCTGTAATATTCTGGAGAATCACGTTAAGTTGACGAAATTGATTATTTGAGTATCGAGTAATGGTTAGGAATGAGAGGTTCGAAATTTAAAATTTTCTTATTTAATTAATAAAATTGTCTTTACAAAATATCATTTTAAAAGTTGGGGTTGGTTTGTACACTAGATGAATCCAACGAATTTATAGCAAAGTAAAGGAAGACATTTAAAATTACTGTTATCGGTGATTTTTGTAAACCAATTAATATGAAGTCTCAGGTAAAGAGTAGAGTTTATCTTTTATAATTTACTTTATAGAAATTAAATTTTTTTTTTTTTTTGTTTAAGAAAACGAGAATCAAGAAACAATAAATAAATATCACGTTTGTGTTACATGATCATATGGTGCAGATATTCCATCAATAGGTAAGTTAACTTTTTGAAAGCGTATATAGTAATTATACAGGCAATATCTCTTTTTTTTATTTTTTGGAAATTTTTTTTAGCAATCTGAGAGAAAATTATACAAATATTCAAAACATCCTTATTGATTTTTTTTTTCGTTAAATATTATGGATTTTTTTCTAATAGAATAATTTTATTATATTTTTCTTATTTTTCTAGGATAGATCTATTAGAAGAAACAAATTTTATGTCAGTAATGCTATACCTGAATCCATTCGTAGCAGAAACTTTGATGAGATTAATTTTCTTTTAATATTGACACTTTTATTTAAAAGAGATTTGATCCTAATATTAATTAATGGAGAACAGACGGAAAGTTCTAGTCGGAGCTCAACTCCAAACAGTTATCGAAAGATCGAACCAGAAATTATGCGCAGATTAATGAATGATGGTAAGGTCAACAACACTGGAATCGATATGAAAGGACTTGAATTGGCGCCAACCGGCCAGTGATTATGATTATTTTTTGCTTAATTACGATGTTGAGGAAGAACATCGGTATGGGGAATCTTCAACGACTGGAATAATAAGAGGAGCTTTACGACAAAATGAAAACCGGAATAACGACCATAGTTGATTGAGTATTTAGATGCCGTAACCCTTAATTACGCAAATCGGCCGATATGAATCGATAAAGAAAATAATGAAATCAAAAACCCATTTACTGTGATTGTAAAAAAAAATAATTTTATTGTATTTTTAGGGACAACCACCATTTAAAATTCACACGCGAAGTAAGAATTACTTATATTTTGTGTTTTCAAAAATATTTTAAATTGATTAAATATTTAAATATTTTGTTTTATGAATTTCCTACAGATTCAACGTATTATCTTGAAGAAATTGTATTAGTATACTCTTTCAAAACGTTTTAATATACAGTATATTCACCATGTAGTTTATGTCCATTCTATCTGAACTTTATAATATGTAAATTTAGTTGACTGTTTAACATTTTATTATTTTTTGTTATGTGTAAATATTGAAATACGCTATCATGATTTTTATCCAAAAGTTGAGATCATAACGAATTAAATTTCATAGTTATTATTTTGTATCAATAATAATTATAATAATTCCTGTTTAAAATGTTAAAATGTTCATTATGTTTTATAATAAGTCGAGTCGTAAAAGAATTAACCATTTCCAAGTTATATAAAAGACCGTATAACGAAGAATCTAATTCCGAACATTTTTCTTGTTGGATGATGCTAACACTTGAAATTTAACAAATAAATATATGGAAAAAATTTAAAAATTTTTGTAGAGAAAAAACCATCAACGTCACGATTTTCGCATTTCTATTAATATTTTTTTTGTGTTCAAAAAAGGAAAACTGGATTTTGCACATATTGTAAATCTTATCATAAATCTTTTTTAAGTATATCCTTTTAGGCGGAGATTTTTTCGTGCTTAATAATGTCCGATATGACTATTGAAGACCCAATTAAAAAAAGTGCTTTTTAACATACTGTACATGCGTAAAAATTTTCCCGTGGTATAATATAATATCCAAAGAATCTTTGTAAAAAATTTCGTTCCTTTTATCCTTTGTAATATATAGTAAAAATCTTCATCTTATATAAAACGAAATTAATTACCATATATTGTATATATTGAATATATTGAATGAAAGAATTCTTAATAACATAATGAAAATTTAATTTTCTATACGGAAATGTTATTATGTATACTAGAATGTTCCATCCGTTAGATCATTTTCCTTTTTGAGGATACAGGAATATCATTTTTTCTAGATTAGACGCAGAGAAAAAAAAACACTTATCCATATTAAGAAATACATGAATGTAAATATGTAATGCATTGCATTTTTAAAACTCCGAGAATTTTTTTAAAAAAAAAACCAAAAAATTCTTTTTCTTTTCTTTTTTTTTGTTTTATAACTTTTTATTCACTTCATTTTTGCTTCCCCAAAAAAAAAACTTTTTTTTTTTCTAAAAAAAAAAAAAAAAAAGAGATAAAAAATATGATTAATATTAATTTTAATAAAGGTAAAAAAAGACAAACCAATGATGATGAATTAAAAGAAAGAGAATCAAAGAATCCTCGTATTGAAATTAATGATGAAGATTCAACAATGATTATAGATAATAATTCGAATTCTTATTATAATGATATTTTAGCAAATCCTCAATATTATTCACAAGAAAGAAATTCTTTAAGTTATAAAACATCACAAGAAGAAAATGAATTATCAAATGATTTAAATAGATTAGAAATTGATAAAGTTCAAGTATTAAATGTAGCACGTACAGTAATAGAAGGAACTTCTAGTGTTGCAAAAAATTTTGCAACTTTTGCACCATTTATTAATTCATTTCTTGATATAGGAAAAGAAATTATTGCATTATATGAAAAAGCTGAACATAATAAAGAATTATGTGGTTTTTTATTAAAAAGATGTAATTTTGCTATGGCGGAAGTACAAGATTTAGTTATTAGAAAAACTGAATATTCAGATTTTTTTTCAAAACAAGAAAATTTAAGTTTATTTAAAGGATTTATTGATTGTATGAAAAAAATTAAAAAATTTATAGCAGATGTTAGTCAATTTAATAAACTTAAAAAATTTTTATATGCAAATAGTATAGAAGAGAATTGTACTAGACTTGAACAAGAATTTGAAGGTTATATGAATAGTTTAAATTTTTCTTTTGCTTTAAGAGCAAGAAATGAATTTGCAACAATGAAATATGATATGAAACAAATTAAAGATTTATTATTTTGTGTATATGGAGTTTCTGATGATAAACAAACTCAACAAAATTATTTTGATGGAATGGATTTAGTTGTTGAAAGAAATAAAGAATTTCAAAATCAAAATAAACAAAGAAAATTATTAGATTCATCTGAAGTAGAAGAAAGTGAACCTTTACTTGATGGTACTCAATATCGTAAAACTAATGTTTATCCATCAAAAAGAATTGGAAAACGTACTTCACTTGATAATTGTGATGAATTTTGTTTTAAAGAATTTTCAAATAGTTCTTCACCTTCAGGAAAATTTAGTAATGAACAAACTCAAATTGAAATTAGAAGACAAGTTAATATTCTTAAAGAATTAAAAAATTCTGATCATATTATTAGATTTTATGGTGTGGCAAAAGAAGATAAAAAATATTATTTAGTTACTGAATGGATGGAATATGGTAATTTACATGAATATTATACGAATTATAGAGATAGTATTAATTTAGAGATTAAAATCAAATTTGCTTTGGATATTTGTCGTGGCGTCGCTTATCTTCATGGATGTAAAGTAAGTTGATATTAATTTCATTAAAAGAAACAAGAAATTTTTATTTTTTAAGAAAAACAAAAATTAATCTTTTTTCGTTGGAATTAGATTCTTCATCACGATATTCAATCAGCAAATATTCTAGTTAATGAACTTCGTAAAGTTAAAATAGCAAATTTTGGTTTAAGTAAAAAATTTTCCGATATCACAAGAAATATTACTCATAATTTGGAAAATATAAGATATATGGCTCCAGAAAAATTATTATTAGATAATAACGAAAATAATAATAATGATAATAAAAAAAAGAAAGTTCCTTACGATCCTAAATGTGAAATTTACAGGTAAAAAAAATTGCTTTGTTTTTTTTACGTAAAATTTTTTATTTTTTTTACGTAAAAACTTTTTTTTAAATGTAAAATAACTAAATTCGATTTCTTTATAGTGTTGGAGCATTATTGTGGGAAATCGCTGAATTAAAAAAACCTCATTCTGATATTAGCTCAGAATTAATCGTTAGTATTAGAAAACGTGTCAAGGAAAATTATGTGTTACCATTTTCAAGTGATGTGCCTTTTGAATGGAAATCAGTAGTATCAAGAGGTAAAGTAGAATATTCACATTTTTTATTTTCTTAACGTTAAATATTAAATTTCTTCTTTTTTTCTAGCTACGGAGTATGAACCAGAATGGCGTATTAAGATATCGGATATTTGTATTGAACTTTACAGATTACATAAAAAATATTCAAGTCAAAATTCTATGCCTCCTTTATCTCCTACACCTACTGCTGTTACGATTCCTTCAGTCGAAGAAGCAGTTCGGGAACATAAATCTCCAAATGGGAATAAACGATTGGCGTGGCAAAGTTTTTCTTATCATTCAGAAACTGATATTGAAGCAAAATATTGGTACGGATATTATTATTATCATGAAGAAATTCCTGAATTACAACGTATTAGTAAAGAAGAAAGAATTAGAATCGCTATAAATATATTTAAAGAAACTGCTGATAAAGGAAATCCTTCGGCTCAATTAAGATATGGAATGTGTTTATGGAAAGGTGAAGGTGTTGCTATAGATTCTCATGAAGCTCTTAAATATTTAAAGTTGGCAGCTAATCAAGGAAATTCTGCTGCTATGTATATTATTGGAAAAGCTTATTGGAATGGTGGTAATGATATTGAACAAGATAAAGTACAAGGCGCTGAATATTTAAAAATAGCAGCTAATAATGATCATCCTACAGCTAAAAAAATGTGTTTGGAAAATAATATTTATTATTTATAAATTTTAGTTTTGCCTTTTTTGTATGAATTACTATTTTTTATTTACATTGACACTTATTTATGTAGTGGTATAAGAAGTAAAATTGTCGAACAATAAATAATATGATTCTTAAATATTACAAAGTACATATAGATTTATAAGTCTTAAAGTGAAGCTATATATTGTAGATTTTATAGAAATAAATAAAGATACAAATACTGAACAAAATACTATAAGTCTTTTTTTTCCAGAATATAAAAAATATTCTATTTCTTCTTATCATAGTTGAAATCTAATTAAATGAGGAGATTGACGCGGAATTAATCACGCGTTACAAACATATGTTAAAAAAGTTTAATGTATATTTCTTAAATTTAAGAGTAAGTAAACGCCACCAGGCATGATTATTCCACTTGAAATTTAAATATGTTGAAATGGTGGATTCGATGATATCTATTCAGCTCTTTGGATGGAAGGACCTAGTTGGATCTGGGATTAAGACGCACATGAATGGACTCGAGGTAGCCAATGCGTACTGCTTTGAAACGTCTTGATGATTCACAAAGTATTTCAAATTACCACATTTAATTCCTTCGACATGTTTTTGTTAGGACGTTTTATGGTTGAACAATTTACGCCTGAAGTTGAAGAAATCATTATTAAACCATACATAGTATACATATTATTCATGATGATTTAGGAAAAAAAATTCTTACCCGTCTCGCCTATTTCCGATTAGCGGTAACGAGATAATGAATGATGTAAGCGATCTGCTGACAACTTTAAGCCGCTCCTCGTATTTTGTTATTCGATCGTCTTTGACTTTTGGCGGCACTATATTCTTTGGAAGGTATTTTCGGACGAATATGCTTATCTTTGACAGCAGAGCTTTCGTCTGAAAATTTTTGAACAAGTCCATAAGAATCCACTATGGTGATGTCTTTGCGGGAATTAGCGGGAAATCTTTGTAAATGAGATGAGATCAACATACGGTAGAACGAACCATCAGGTTATTTTTGTTTGTGTTTTTGTGATACAGCAAATGAAAGCTATTCTACTAATAAAATTTTTTAAGATAAGATGGAAAATTTATATACAGATCATTACGTTCCGTACGTTCTAACGATATAAATAAGAGCTTGAAATGTTTTGGTGAATTATCAAGGAGTTTTAAAACAATGTTCATTGGCCCGACATGAGTCCATTCACACGTGACATTATCCAATGTCCAACTTAGGTTCTTCATCCAAAGAGCCGAATAGAGACTTTGAATTCTCCATACAACATATTTAACCATTTCGAATTTATCAAGAGTGACATTGTGGAATAAATATGTAAATCTTTAAGGTAAGCACTACTCCAAAAAGGAAAGGTTGTATTTAATAAGGAACGTTATTTGTTATCAAAACTTTGGGAATTTTTGAAATAGAATTTTTGGAGTCATCGATCAAATGATTATCGTATGTTCAAAATAAATCATAAAACATAATGTATCTTAATTTATCTTAATTGAAAGAAGTATTAATAAAAATGCTTTATTAGAGCAGAAATATTCATAATTATCGAAATTATTACATTTTAAATGTAAAAAGGGAATGTAAAATAGGAATTTGAATTTCTTATAAGAAAAAAAAAAAGAAAAAATAATTTTTTAAAAAAATCAAACATATTTATATAAAATGTAAGGTGTCGTGGGCTCGTGGCTTCTTTACTGATAAATAATTCCAAAATTCTCAATTAAGAATGCAATCAACGCCAAGTTAAAAACCTTCCGAAAAAGTTTTTATTAAGAAATCTAGATTTTAATAGGATAATTTTTTTGTAACTTGTTATTTCTTGTATAATTTATTCTTGATTTATAATTTATTCGATTTTTTTTGGACGATCAGATTTTAGTCTCTTCGAAAGTTCGATCATGTTATCATATGATTAAATTTTTTTGCCAGATTTTTAACATGATTTTTGATATTTTTGATATTTTTGCATGTACTTTTACGTCATTTAAGATATAAAATTTTTAAAATAGGAGAAGTCATAAGTATAAAAACGCTTTTAATTTGATCAAAATCTTTTAAGCCACATCTCTTCTTCTATTTTTACTATATTAGTCTAAACCAAAAAAAATGCAAGTTTGATTTTGATTAATAATTTTATTTATTTGAAAATGACAATATTTTAAGGTTAGAATCTTTTCATTTTTAAACCTAAAAAAAATAATAAATAAAAAAAAAATAAAAAAATCAATATTTCATCTAATAATTTTTTGATTGGTTATTCTTGTCACGTTATGCATTACCATATTTGATCACACAAAAGGGTATTATTTTATTATTTTATTACACAATAAACCTCTAAAGTATATTTATTCGTACTATTAAAAAAAATGTAAACATTAAATTATTGATTTATGAACTTTTACAAGTTTTTTACCCCGCTAGTAACCCACTTTTTAGTAACCCCACTTTCTTCTTATCTGTTAAATAAAGTTAATTCAAATTACTTCTGATGACAAATGACGCCATCACATAACTACATAACTGGTAGTTCAATTAGATGAATTTTATATAAAACCTGTTATTCTTTTCTCGGATATTTATATTTTGTTCTGGTATTCTTAATTCTTTGTCAATCGATCAAGCGATAACCATATGATTACGATTAAAAAAAATTATCAGGTTAATTAACCGGTCATAAATTTGTAATAATTCCCAAAATTAATAATATAAAATTCGGTAATTCAGGCCAAATATTTAATTTTGATCCGAATTAGGTTTAACAGGTTTTTATAATGTTTATCAATCAATCAACCATAAATCCAAGCCACATGGGTACCGGTTACCGGTTATTCAGGTTTTTTACTAAAGTAACCTGGAATTTATAACTCATAATATTTTGTGGTTAGTATTAACCGTATTGTGTGGGAAAATATTCTTGGGCTAAAAATAAGTTATATTGAACTTTTCTATTTATAGAATTTATTTATTCATCTTACAGATGTGACGCTGTAACACACATTTAATTTTATTCTCTAATAAGTATTTATTATGTCTGCGAATAGTAAGACTAATCTTATAACAATATAATAATGAATCATAAATGATTAGCGCCCATGATCAAAAGTCCAGAAAAAAAGTTAGAAGGACGTATAATGTATATCATGTTTAAATATAGTTATATTAGATTGTCTAAATTATTTGAAAATTTCCTTAGCTATGATTTAACACTAAATTTAGATTAATAATTTCATAAATGGTGGCAATATACAAAGTTAGTTCCTATTTACTTACTTATCGGTATAAATTTGAAAATATTCTTTATTGATATTATTTAGTAATCTTAATATAAACCTTAGGCATAATGTCAATTTAAAGCGATATTTATAAGATTGAATGAAAAAAATAATTTAAAAAATTTAAAACTTATATTCCCGTAAAAGTTCTTATATAAAAATCTTAAAAAATCATATTGAATCTTTCGTTCTTTTTTTTTTTACAAGTACATTATGTTTTTTATAATTGAATCCTTTAAACCTATTCGTTTACTAATTATTGTTAGAATAACTAGTAAAAGTTGAATATTCAAAATGTAAACAAGAGGTTTTTTTGATGATGGTACATATAAAATGATTGGTACGTATACAATCAATGGTATGATTAGTCCTATGAAACTTAGACTAATTATTTGTTGTCGTGTAAATTCACAAGCGATTAGAAACTTTATCATAATTGGAAGTGTACCGATCACTACGAGGATAAGTATGAAAACCATCAAGACTTTTAAATTTCCCTTAGAGACCAAACCATATTTCCAAACATTTAATAAAATTACAAGTGGTATAATTATACCAATCCAAATGAAAAAAACTACTGAAAATCTCCGCGTGTCATTCTTAATATAATTGTACAATGCAAGGTTTGTAAGTGTTACCAAACAAACGAATAACGGTAATGCTGATAACGCAAATACGACCCATCTCCAACCAGTAAAGTATCGATTAAGAATGATCTCAGTTATTGATGATGGATTATAAAAGCACCAAAAAATGTTATTTGGTCCATGATCATTGAGAAACTTATTTGCATCATCTATTGATTTGAAATTTTGTGTATATGTTGAATTTTTATTTTGCTGACCAACATTATACATTACATTTAATATAATATCGTAGCATGTATCACAATTCATTTGACATTTTTGTTGTTTGACATACTTGCAATAAAGACATTTGTGATTATAACATTCGTCGTAAGCTACGTAACAAAGTGCATCAGATCCCGATTTTGGACAAAGACTACTATTCTGGCTACATCCGATTGGTGATAATGATAATGTTTGAGGTATTAATGTTTCACATTTTGGAAGTCCTGATGGGGCTTTTTCACAAGTGCAGTCTATATCGCAACAATATTTAGTGATAGTTTTAGAAGATTGACTTTGACATATTGTAGGAGTATATTTAGATCTTTTAATTTCAGGATAATTAACACCAAAGAATACGCCAAAAAATATCGCGAGAGAGATTATTATAATTTTTATTAAGCAAGATTTGCTCATTTTCTCTTTTTGTTAAATTGAAAATGATCGTGTTGATTTTTATGTGAGTATGAATTCTGGATATATATAAGTCTTTCGTATATTTAATCTAATTGATATTTCTGACACGTATATTCTTTATTTCATAAGTTAAGACTTTGGAAGTAGAAACGAACAACTTGTTGTATAAAGTATATATATACGAAAAAGAAAAAAAAACGAACAACTTGTATAAAGTATATATACGAAAAAGAAAAAAAAATTTTTTAAAGAGAACGGAATCTACGAAAATCCACAAAGTACAATCTAGTCAGTATATTGTATATTAGGACTTCCATTCCATTCCAATTTCGGAGTTTAAATAAAAAAAATAATAATAGAAGTCGGCCTAAGAATTCTTTAGGAAATTAAAGAAAAAAACTGATGAAGCCACTTTATGTCGATCTTTACTGTTTTTCGCTATTGTATTCCTCATACTGCAAGAGCATGCATTATTAAATTTCCGATTAGAAGTAACGCATGGACTGGTACTGTACGGTTCATTTCAATCCTAGAATATAAATTTAGAAAAAAAAGGTAGAATGTTACCATATAATCATTGTTCTTCTAATTCTAATTCTTTTGAAGAAATTTTTTATCAGTTTCAAGTAGAATTTAAAATAGATTAATTTCCCGGTTACATAAAAAAAATGATCGGAGTGTACCACTAATAAATTGTCCGTGTCTGAAAAAAAAAAAAAAATAAACAAACATTTTAATTTCCTTATTTTATGAAAATAGAATTTCTAGAATGTGTTATTAAAAAATTTCTATCCTATTCTAATTCGAAATTAATAATAGAAATTATTGAAATTATTTGCCACGAAGTAGATGAACTGTGATATTGTGATATGTAATAGTTATTTCACGGGCATCAATGATTTTCACGGCTGCGCCGTGAAAATCATGATATTCCACATTACCGGACATATTCCGCATATTCATGTGTTTTTTTTATTCCGCGTAATCTCTCAATTCGGAATAATACAATTCAAATAGTATTAATGTACAGTAATTACCAAATATTTAAATAAACATTTATATACCACTAGTTTAGAGTGGCGTTTATTTGGTCCTATTAAACTTTTAGTTTAATTGAACGTACAGAAGATTCGAAATATAGAGGCGTGACAGGCAAACCCCGTTTTCAGGATCATCGGCCGATTATACTCCAAGTTATAGCCGATACATATTTTGCGCCTATTACTTCATGCATTTAGGATTGATACTTTTTTTGCTTTTAACAATATTTTCGTCGGTTTAAGTATTTAAAATTTTAACATTATTAAATTTTTATTGTTAAACTTTAATTTGGTAAAAAAACTTTTTTAAAATAAAATAAATAAAATGTAATTTGCTTATAATAAATCTATTTTATTTCGTATTTTATTTTTTACAAGTATCTAAAAAAAAAAATTCAAAAAGCATGTAATGATACTTAATTTTTTTGATTTTCAGGTTTTAATTTTTTTTTTTTTTCAAAAAATTTAAAATTCATATGAAAATTTTAATTTTAAAAAATTCTTACCAGTATAGTATTAAATAATATACAAAAAAATTTTTTTTTTACAGCTGTTTTCATAAGTTGCGAGGACGCAAAATCATATGCTTAGAGACACTCGGGACATTCGGCAATATTCGATAAAACTCAGAATAAGGATCGTTAGATTCGGATCACTAATTTTAAAGTAACCTCTACTGAGTTACTTTCGTCAAGAGACAATAATCCCGAGTGTCCTGCAACTTATGAAAACAACTGTAGCAAATACTGATCCGGATATGAGAACTAATATTATTACTTTGTGTCGCCTAGTAATTTATGTCGATTAGGAGAATTTTTTTTAGAGAAATTCAGAAAATTTCATCAAATGTTTACATTGATTTAAATATTATATTTAGAGCAATAATCGTCGATGATTTTTTTTTGTTATAAAACTTTTGTGTATCGGAAATTCCTATCAAACACTATTAATAGTCATTAAAATTATTTCATTGGTTTCAGAAATATTGCCGAAATCTGACAATCCGCGGATTTCGTCTGGAGGTCCAAAGTATGTTGTAACACTCCTGTTGATATACAAGATATGCAGAAACGTGAACTTTTTGGATTGACTGATTGGTTATACATAAAAAAAATATGTTTATATTTACTATTTGTTTGTTACTCCTTCGTTTTTCCTGTCTTCATATTAAAAAATATTTATACTAGTTACTGTTCGTTATCTCTTTAATTTTGTTTTCACAATTTAATTCGGTCAAATTATTATTTTTACAAACAATTCTTCAGCAGTTTCAATAAATAAGAATTATAATTTTCTCTTTAATTCGTATAACAGTTTCTAGTAAGGAATGATAACGTTACTTCACTGATTTAAAAAACATTTTCAGGAAAAAAAAATTGACAAAATGGAAAACATAGAAGACAATATGGAAAATATGAAAGATGATATAGAAAATAGTTGTACAAGTTCTAGATGCCCAGAATGTGGTAATAAATTTTACTACTATTGTAAGCCATGCAACTTTGCACATTTCAATAAAATTGATAAATTGATTCAAAATTCACAGCCCAATGCAAATTATCGATATAAATTAATTAAGTGGATTGAATATTCAAATCTTAAAAATATTGAATTTGTTGCTCATGGTGGGTTTGGAAGTGTATATAAAGCTATTTGGAAAGGTGATCCAATTGAAGAAGAACCTTATTCGAATATCAACAAATCTAAAGTGTATCGGAATTGCAACAAGAAAGTGGCAATAAAAAAATTCCGAAATGCGACTAGTATTAGCTCAGAATTTTTGAATGAGGTATACAATTTAAATAGTTATTTTATGAATAAAATGAATATTCACATAATCTAGTATTATATTGCAGGTCAGAAATAATTTGGAGTTAAATTACGGGTATTGTAATTTAATTTATGGTGTAACTCGTGATCCTCAAAATGGAGAATTTGCTATTGTTATTGAATTCCAAAATGATGGCAATATTAGGGAACTGGTTAAAAAAAGTCACAGTATCCTGAATTGGAAGTTGATTGTTTTTATACTTATTGGAATCAGTAATGGATTGTGCGCTGTTCATAGTAAAAATTATCACCATAGAGATTTCCACAGTGGTAACATTTTGAATAGTACTTACGGTGGTCGTATTTATTCAGTGATTTCAGATTTTGGCTTGTGTTGTCCTGCAAATCAAAATTCAGTAGATAAGACATTATATGGCGTTTTACCATTTGTCGCTCCAGAAGTTTTACGTGGTGGAGAGTTTACCAAAGCAGCAGACATTTATGGATTTGGAATGCTGATGTCGGAATTGATCAGTGGCGAAGCACCTTTTATTGATAGAGATTATGACTTGCATTTAGCACTGGATATTTGCAAAGGAGAACGTCCACCAATTCCAGAATATACACCTGAACCATATGCTGCTTTGATGAAACGTTGCTGGGATCCTATTCCTACCAATCGTCCATCAGTTTATGAGTTGGGTGAGAAAATTGCAATATGGTGTGATATTATACATGAACTTAGTCATTCCCGGGTGGCAATGAAGCAAGAAATTGAAAAAGAGTTTAGCCGAGAACGGGAGGACAGATGGAAAGCACGATTAGCAGAATTGGCTACAAAACCATTTTCTCTAAAAAAATCACAGAATATGCTTACCAGTAAACAACTTGATTATTCCAAGCAACTCACTCAATTACTTGAAGCCAAGGATGTTGAAATGGAAACTAATGATAATAGTACGTTGTATAATTTATAAATTTTGACAAATAAAATCTATAATCTAACATATATTGCTACTATTAATAGCATACCACACACGACAATTCGACATGTCTCTAAAACTTTTATTGTAAAATTGTAAAGTTATTGAACCAATTAATATTTTCAACATTTGAATTAATTTAGTAAATTTGCATACTTGATCATATATACAGTAGCTTACGAAATGTAAAATACTACATTGGTATAAGTTAATTGATATATCAAATGAGTGATTTCATCTTTTTTACTTTTTTATTCTCGTATAATTATTAATTACCGCTAAGATTATCAACGTAATTACAGTATCTATCGTTAGTAGTATATTATGAGACAATTAACGAGGCGCAACTCATGGTGTAATTAATTTAAGCTGCAATTTAACCAAATCATAGTTAAATTATGGATTAATATAAATTATCTTTTTTTTGATTTTACTTTTATAAAATTATAGTATCTGATAGTAATATAAATAGCTTCAAGCGGTTTAATTTCTTTTTATGAATTTTTTTAACTTACGAGATTTTACTTATTAGAATATTACTACAAATAAAAATTGGATATTTGTAAGCTGCCTTCTATAAATTAAATCAATAAAAATTCATCGAAAAAATTAATTATTATTTTATTTCCATTTTAAGGGTTTTGTTAACGCAAATAGACCCAGAAATATATATACAGGGGTAGGTACACAGATGCGTCGCCATCATAGTGAAATTAGACGGAGTAAAGTTTTGATTTGTGTACAAATTTTAGAATTTTTCATCTATAGTTAGGTCATCAAGATTGCATCAAAATTTTTATATGTAAAAAATTAGTTTGCGTATTTTTGGCCTAAATTTGGCTAATCTTATATATATAATATATTTACTGTACGTACTTATATGATTAAAAAATGGTAAATTCTATTTTTTCACATTAGTATTTGGTTTTATAAATAATATAGAATTAATGTCTGAAATTTTATTTGTAGGATTTTCAATATCAGGTGTCAATTATGCGTACTACTCATATAAAAAGTCTCTGCGTACAGCTCATAGTAAAAAAATTTACCGAATAATCCTTTTGAATTTTTTTCCCGTGAAATTCACACCCGTTATTTTTTACCTAATCCATGTAAAATTCCAAAAATTGTATCGACATTCAATGAATTTCTTCAAAATTGTCACCCGCAAATTTCAAAAATTATTACGATGCGTCTAAGTCACGGGCGCAGTATTATGTGGCGTTTTCGCCACCTGACCCCTATATATATATTTCTGGGTCCTCATGAAACCATGATGTTAAATTAATTATCCAGACAATCACTTGAATCACTTTTAGTATCTTTTTTATAGATTCCAGTTTCGAAATAGTGCAAGAGTTAATACCGTCATCAATGTAATTCATAATAATTAATGATATATTAAAAGTATATTAATAAATAGCAAATTATTTTTAAATCTTATGATGAGACTTTATGCAGTCATTTTTATTGTAAAAAAGAAAATCTAATGAACAAAACGAGGATACCTGTTTATTAAAAATTTATTTCGAAACTAGGAATCACAGTAAAGTTTTCATAGTGAAAGTTGTTCTCTATTTAGAAGTGATATAATGGATATTTGGAAATGTTTATTGCATACTTCTCTATAAAATTGATAGGTTATGATAATAATAAAATTTTTTGATTTCTAATAATAGATGCGAAAAATAATTTTATGAAATCATATAGTGATGATAGGGGATGCTATTGTATAATTACATTTGTTAATTACATTTGTTTATGTTGTTAGTTGTGCCTTTTTTTTTAGAAAATTGTCCAATAATAATACTAATTATTCTAATAAATAATACGTTAAAAACATTTTAAAGGATTAAAAGATATTTAAGTTGACGAATTATTATTATTTTGATTATCAACAACTATTGAACAAAAACCATAATTTTCAAGAAGATGACATTGTAAAAAGTATAAATCAAGTTTTTGATTTAAACTTGTTTCAAGATTTAATTTTTGATGTAAAGATAATAATGATGACTCATTACGTGATGAATTATTTAAAATTTCAACTTCACATGTTTCTTTATTCAATAAATCAACAATCTGAGAATATGTTAATAATCTGCATTTAATATGAAAACTTGCTGTCGAATCAGTTAAACACGAGTAAAAGAATGCGTGATCATAATCACGAGCGTCCGATGAATTTGCTTGAATCCTATCACATGTAATGTGATAAATATTGTTATCATTTAGTGGATTATGAAAAAAATTCAGTTTTATGAGTTGCAAAGATTGTTGATGCTGTGTAGTAGTACTAGATTGTCCATTGATTTCGGAAGAATCACGGGATACATCGGAAATTACATTCTCTCGATCTTGAGACATCGTCGTCGTCGAGAATATGCAGGTCCGTTCGTTGGTAAGAGGGAATTTATCGAATGGTACTGATTCATATTGTAAAAGTAAATGTCAGATTATTATTTGGACTTGTTCGATTTATAATAAAGATTTGGTATGTAAAAAAAAATTTTTAGATTCTATTCAGTGTTGATTTTAGTTTATTATAAAAAAAAATATTTTAATAACGAAATTAGTTAGTTTGTGTCAATTTTTAAAATTTCTTTTTATAAGAATCTAAAAATTTTTTTGTACTTTGACCCATTTGTAAAATATTTATAAATTACCAATTTTTTTTTCCTTTTGAAAATATGTGCCTGAATAAGGATAAAAGTGTAAGGTCTATATATAATTAATTTCAGCTTATCATTACCTAAAATAAGAATTATTTGTGTACTGAGAAATAAAAAAAAAAAATTTCAAAAGTACTTTGTCTAGTCTCCTGTAGAAAGAACTAAAATATTCTAGTAATTTCGAATAGATGATCTGGTTTAATTTATAAGTTTTCCAAGTTTTGAGGCGTTTGAACACGTAAGTTGCCGAACTTCTATTTAGAAAATTTTCTAAGTCACGAGAAACGGAAAATTTTGTTGCCGAGCACGTTTAAAGAAAATAAGTGTACTTTCGCAGTATCTTATTATATTGTGTAAAAAAATCTATCCATTTTTTATATTCCCATCTTTTTTCCATAAAAGGCTCATATTTCCGGAATTAATTACCCTATATCATAGAATTTATCGAATTATTTACCTTTTCTGTGGCTGGATCCGTAGTTACGGAGTTTTTACAGAAATAACGGATAATAATTTTTATAGTGATAATATACATGATTAATAATGCTGAGAAAGTACTAAAGTCTACGTAATCGGCAACAAAATTTACCGAATATTCTGTGGCTAACTGGCTAATGTAAATAAAGAATGTTCGATCGGCAAAATCATTTCATGAATCACGATAAAAATGGAAATTTTAACAAAGCGAAACCTGCATTGACTGCGTTCGAAACTTTAAAATCATATTCATATGAATTATTTAATAAAGATGGCTTTTTTATTAGTCAGCCAGCATTATACTATACTGCGTTAAAAGAATAGAATTTATGGAACAATAAAATAATATGATTACAATAACGCTCACGGTACATAAATGCAAGAATTAAGTTGCTATTGATCTGCGCACACGTTACACAAATCACAAGAAATTCTCTCACGAACGTTTTCCTTATTGATTTTAATCTAATCACGTGTAATGATAGATTACCAAAGTGTCGGTAAATATCTAAAAATATGATCAACAAAAAGAGTGAATAAAAAATTTTGTTTAGGTGAATTTTATGCTTTTGAAGACATTATAGTAGCAATAAATTCAAGTCTTTATATTTTACGAGGCGTCCTTAAACGTACGTGAGTTTAGAAGTTATGCAGCACGTGAAAGCGTTAACGTCTTAACCTACACCCCGGTTCAGGATCATTATCCTAGACCCCGGGGGTTCAGATAAAGCAAGCTAGACCTCCTTCTTTTTTTAGTAAAAAATTAATTACCAAAATTGTACCTTATTTTTTTAAATAAACATTTTTTTATCACGTATAATACTGTACACTTTTCTTACCGACGAAATAAAATATTATTATATTTATACTTAGGATGCTATAACATAAAGATGCCAATTTAAAATGATACGGTATTTCTTTAGTTTCTTCAGAACTCTTTTAAAAGTTAACGAGAGGAGAGTAGAATTTTTTTTAGTTTTTTCTTTGAGAGCAATAACTAACAAGCACATTTGTTGAACCTTTATATTTACAATAAAAGAAGACGAAGTTTTTTTTTTTTTGAGAGCAATGACTAACAAGCACATTTGTTTGAGCCTCTATATTTACAATAAAAGAAGACGAATACTGCTTATTCTTAATGGAACATTTTTCTTTTATATTCAAGAGGTATTTTAAATAAATATTAAAGGAATTTGTGGATTATACTATTTATTTACATACGTTAAATTTCTTAGTGCTGTTGTAAATTTTTGGGATATAACACTTTTAATTAACTTATTCTCTCCTCTTGGGCTGTGAGTTGGTTCCAAAAAGTGTTTTATTTTTTCTTGAGTATTTTTTTATATTAATTATTTACTTGATGTATTTGAAATAAAGAAAATATATTTTGGTAAAATATAATGCATCGATTAAACATAATTACAATATATTAAAGTAAAATTACGTATTACTATCTTTATGAACATAAAATCCAAATTCAACACTATCGTTCATAACATTTTTTGCCATATCCAAAGGAATACCTCCAAGATCCTCTGCAATAAGCCTAATCGCAGTTTCAGGTACCAAAACTTGGACTAAATACTGTGATGAGAATTATGGGGCACAAAGGTTTTCGGTAAATATTTTAGGTTGAACAAACATTTCAATCAAAGTCTTTAAGTAACTTCTAAACCTTTAGGCCCATAATATCCAGGCTAAAAATTGTGAATAAAATTTATTAAAATTAAATTAATAATATTAAACGAAAAAATGATAATTTTAGACTTACTTGAAAAGATTCAAAATAATTGATTTGATATAGTAATGGATGACCCACTTTTGATTTACCTATTTCTTGAATTCTTTTAACTGCATCTACACGAAATTCACTATGACGTTGACCTTTTATAATTTTTAGCAAATCTGACTTCAATTCTGTAATTCGATTAGATAACTTTGCAAAATCTATATATATAATGGATATCCTTTTTCAATCCCACAGGGAATGATTGTTCCTTCACCTTATGAACTAGACAAAACTCATATTGTTCAACTATAGTACGAGCCGATTCTGTTATATAAATTAAGTTAATCATTTTATTAAAGGGATTTTATTTAAAATATTGTAATACTTACTTGTTCCCGTTGAGATATCATTTAAATACTCTGAAACTTTTGATGGTAATAGATTTGGTAAAGTTTCACCACAATAAGGGCATTCAATATTTTTGTCTTGATCATTTTCTTAATTTAATGATTTTTAAATATACTAACCATTAATATAAAGGATCAGATGCATGAACATTTAAAAATACATTTACCTAAATTTAATTTATTAGAAAGAAAATCAGGACTTTACGAAAAGCCCTTCTCTTTGACCTATATGGGGAAGGTTTTTTGATATAATTATATATAAAAAATTATCACATTATACACTATTACCGATATTACATATTACATACTATTAATAGTATATATTAATTGTAATACAAATTTTTTTACTAATTGCAAAATTTATTTTATAAATACTAGTTAATTATGAAATTCATTGTGCAATATTTTGTACAATATATATGTAAATAAAAAATTGTGAAAATATTATAAAAAATTACAAGATTCATCGAAAAATGTATTATAATTACATATTTTAAAATTAGTTAAAAAAAAAAAATTAATATTAAATCACATATTGTCAGAAGTGTCGTACTATATATTTTCAGATACAAAATACCTTGTACAAGGCAATGTTTCAAGTATTGTACAATATATTAAGAAAAAATTAGTGATATTAGCAAAGTAAGTACATCAAGTTAGCACTTATAAAAAATCCCAAACTTCAAAATCTGCAGGTCTATTAACTACGAACAAGAGCAATTTCACAGGCTATTAGTTCAACATTAGGTGGTTGTACATGATGTCCAATTCCAATTTTAATAGCGTATGACGTAGGCAATTCTTTTGGTGCAGTGTATTTCTGCGTTGTAGAAAATGCAGTTCCGGCTTTAGTCGGACAAGTGGCTCCAGGTAATGAACAAATATCCACAACAAGGGGATCTCCTATGGGTTGTTTCACGACATTATCGATGAATGCAATACTAAGAAAATCTCCAGTGACAATGTCTTTTTTCATTGTTCCTTTAATGTCAAACGTTTCTTCTGTTCCAGGAACGACAGGATCAGGTGTCACTGTTACATCGAGTCCCACTACATCTGGTGGCAAACCGGGACATGGTTGAATTTGAATATCTCTTTTTTCAAGTGCAAGTGGTGCTGCATTGACCGCAAAAAGTGTAGCAAATAAAACGAATGTCAAAATAAAAATTCGGCTCATGATTACTTAAATTTTCTTGTAGTTAGATTTTTATTAAAATAAATGTTTTTTATTTATTTTTTTTTCGGATTAAATCAGTTACTTCTTTTATGAGAAAAAAACAACAACCAAAAGATTTACTTTGTTTCATCTTCATTTTTCTTCATATTAATTTTATTAATTTGCAAATCTAGAATCTTAGAATCGATTATCATCATTACTCTACCAACCATGTTAATCATGATGCTGGGAAGAAAATCATACTAAAATAATAATTATGTATTACTACGTTGGATATCTTAACTAATTTCGTTTTTTTTTAAAAAAAAACTTTTAGACATCTTCGGTCGTTATTTCCTTAGATAAAAAAGCGGCTGTGCTTTATTTATAACATAAGTTTAAGAAGTAATGATGAAATTTCAGCCGCCAGAATTTAAAAAAGGATATGGGAGTGTAGAAATTTGGGAATACAACTAAATTAATATATTTCAGGGGCTTGTATTAAAAAAATGGAAATAAAAAACAGAGGACAATTTTTATTTTTATTTTTATTAATGGGTATCAGTTAGGAACCTAACATGACGCGAATTTAAGTAGAATATTACATACAAGATCAAAATTGAAAACATACTACTAAACTACTATCGCTAAAATAATCTGGTGGATATAGGGATCGGAAAAGATTCGATTAAAATCGAAACTATCGAAAATCGATAAGAATCGATTTTAAATCGAATCTCGAATAAAAATCGAATCTACTTATTGTGGCGCAGTTTCGTTAATTTGACCGTAAATTATTATTTGTTCATAATAGTTAATTTTGGCCAAATTCATAATTCCGCCCGCGAATCACGTGACGAAACACAAACTTCCTAAAAAGGAAATTTTATCTCCCAATAAAATTCAAGTTTCCATCGCACAAGGTTGTACAAATTTCCAAAAAAGGAACTTTGTTCGTCGATCACTGTAATTTTTTGTAATCACGTGATATGTGTTTAAACACACCTATTATAAATAGTATAAAAAAAAATCGGTATTTGCGAAACGATTAATCGCGATTAATCGATTTTAGAATCGATTCTAATAATGGGAATCGATTCCAATCCCTAGGTGGATACATACTAGGAAGAAGGCCTATTGTGAAGAATACGTGCAACAAAGCAAAAACCCACAAAAAAAACAGGGGATAACAATGCCATAAGTTTCATTTTAAATTAATTTCAAATGAAATTGTGTGGGATCACAGAATCCTGATGATCGACAACTAAAATCCTGACTGGAATGAGTTTGAGATATACTGTACATAGTCCTTTTAGTTAAAATAAAAAAATTTTTCCTTTTAATTTCATTAATAATATAGTAACGTTAGTTAAATTGCATTAATATTAATAAAATTTGTAAACAATTTGTATTGGTATTGATAAAATTTACAAATATTTTCGTTAATACTAATTAAATGATTCAAATTATATATTGGATAAATTAAGACCCGATACTGCGCCGCGTATTTTTAAAATTATTTGTTTAATTAGAAATTTATAAAATTTATATAATTTTTTTTTTTAAAAAAAAAAATTTTGGGATTTTGACCATCAAGAATTTTAACTGTCAGAATTTGACTATCGGGATTTTGTTTCAACCGGGATTTGAGTTTATCAGGATTTTGATGTTGGAATTGTAGACTGTCGATATTATGGTTGTCAGGAATTTGTGGTAAAACCCATTCTGATTTACAAATGATAAATGTATAAAATAAACTTAGATGTTGAATAATATCTTCGATTCTTGATTGAATACTTCAATATTTTTCATTTTTTAGTTTCTATTTTACATTCTTTTTCCACGTCACCTATCTTTGCAATAAAAATAAAAATTAAACAAACGTTTAAACAAAAAATTCTTTTTTATTTTCAAATGTCTTTTCTTCTATAATATTATCACTTTAACGTTCAAGTAATTGATATAATTGTTAAGCAATAAATAAATAACTTTATTTTCCTGAAAACATTTATTCAGTAAAAAATGATCAATATATTATAAGCAACAAGACAAATTAAATAAATAATAAAAATTAGCTAATTCAAAAATTTTTCTAGAAAAGATTCTTCACGTATTTAGTATAAAAACAATAAAATAAACAAATGTAATAAATAATATTTCGGCAAACGCCCATACGACGAAATTGCTTCGGTGAAATGTTCATACGGCGAAACGGCTTCGGCGAAATGTCCTGATACCCAAAATTATACGTAGATCCATGTAGGGAATGTACACTCCCCGGTAAAAAGTCTCCGACCACCCTAAAATCAATAATGCCAGGGTTTTTTAATAAAAAATTTTTCATTTATATTAAACTTTATAGTGAAAAACCCTAATTTGAAGTGTTTATTTGCTAAATTGTTAGTAAAATTTCGAAGAAATATTTAATTTTCATGGTGGTAAAAAATTTGACTTTTTAACCAGGACAGATACAACAAAACTGACGCCAGAACTTGATTCTTTGACATAAAAATAGCTTATGGGCCAAAAATCAGGACGATTGGATCAGCAGTTGTTAAGAAATCCACCTCTAAAACCCTGTCTCTTATACACATCTAGATGTGTATAAGAGACAGCATATGAAATTCGTAAAAATTCATGGGTTTTAGAGGTGGATTTCTTAACAACTGCTGATCCAATCGTCCTGATTTTTGGCCCATAAGCTATTTTTATGTCAAAGAATCAAGTTCTGGCGTCAGTTTTGTTGTATCTGTCCTGGTTAAAAAGTCAAATTTTTTACCACCATGAAAATTAAATATTTCTACGAAATTTTACTAACAATTAAGCAAATAAACACTTCAAATTAGGGTTTTTCACTATAAAGTTTAATATAAATGAAAAATTTTTTATTAAAAAACCCTGGCATTATTGATTTTAGGGTGGTCGGAGACTTTTTACCGGGGAGTGTACATATTTCTGATTTTTGACCAACTATCCTGGATTATTGAACATTTACCCTGGATCCTCATTACCAGGGATGATCATTGAATTTCTACACGGCTACATCCATTTCTACACCAGATGTTACATATTATTGGTCACGTGATATATCACATTTTTAAGGATATTAATTATTAGTTTCTAATTATTAGATCATAGGATAACTCAAGCAATATTTTATACAACGTTTTTCATCAATAATAATATAAGAAATTTTGCGAAACGTTTTCTTATATTAAAACACTTAAAAAACGGTTGGCGATATTTTAACTAGAAATATGCGTGTTGGTAAGAGGGAATTTATTGAATGGTACTGATTCATATTGTAAAAGCAAATGTCAGATTATTATTTGGACTTGTTCGATCTATAATAAAGATTTGGCATGTAAAAAAAAAATTTTTAGATTCTAGTCAGTGTTGATTTAGTTTACCGTAAATTTGTGTCAATTTTTAAAATTTCATTCTATAAGAATCTAAAAATTTTTTTTACTTTGACCCATCAGTAAAAAATATTTATAAATTACCAATTTTTTTTTCCTTTTGAAAATATGTGCCTGAATAAGGATAAAAGTGTAAGGTCTACAGTATATATAATTGATTTCAGCTTATTATTACCTAAAATAAGAATTATTTGTGCACTGAGAAATAAAAAAAAAATATCAAAAGGTCTTTGTCTAGTCTCTTATCGAAAGAACTAAAATATTATAGTAGATTCGCCAAGTTTTGAGGCGTTTGAAACTATGTAAGTTGCCGATCTTCTATTTAGAAAATTTCCTAAGTCACGGGAAAGGGAAATTTTTGTTGCCGAGCACGTTTAAAGAAAATAAGTGTACTGTAAAATATACTCGTAAAAAAATCTATCCGTTTTTTATATTCCGTCTTTATTCCATAAAAGACTCATATTTATGGAATTCCGGAATTAATAACCTTATATTATTATATCACGTATTATTTACCTTTTCTGTGACTGAATCCGTATTTTACGGAGTTTTTACAGAAATAATGGATAAAATTTTTATTGTGATAATATACATGATTAATAATGCAAAATTTGCTGAGTATTACGTGGCTAATGTAAATAAAGAATGTTCGATCGGCAAAATCATTTTATGAATCACGATAAAATGGAAATTTTAACGAAGGGAAACCTGCATTGACTGCGTTCGAAACTTTAAAAATATATTCATATGAGATGAATTATTTAATAAAGATGGCTTTTTTATTAGTCAGTCTACATTACACTGTACTGCGTTAAAATAATTTTACGTACATAAATGCAGAGTGCTACGGAGATGAGTGGTGTAGGGCCAAGGAGATGTGTAGTGTATGGTCCCCTATGTGACAGTTTACACAGGTGATAAATAACACGACGGGCCAAACACGTGATTTTGAGTGGGCCGAAATGCTATTAATCACCTGTGTATGGTTCACACCCCTTATTTTACACACTGTTACACACTGCTAAATATCACCATACACCACACAAGTGGTCGACCCTACACCACTGGTATTCGTCTTACCGATAAATGCAAGAATTAAGTTGCTATTGATCTGCGCACACGTTACATAAATCATGACGAAGTTTTCCTTATTGGTTTTAATCTAATAATCACGTGTAATGTAGATTATCAAAGTATCAGTAAATAAAAACAAAAAGAGTTCACTTTGAAACTCCTTTTGCTGCAATTATCTTTTCAATTTGAATAAAAAATTTTGTTTAGGTGAATTTTATGCTTTTGAAGACATTATAGTAGCATTGCCATAAGTAGCTATATTTTACAAGGCGTCCTTAACGTACATGAGTTTAGGAGTTATGCAGCACGTGAAAGCGTTAACGTCCAGTTCGTATGTTAATATCATACATCATGTAGGATTACGAACATTTGTACTGATAAGATTAATTTACACGTGAGAAAATATTTAACTGTAATAATGGCTTCGGTTTATTATAGATTTAAAAAATAATCGTGCAGTATTAATTTTGATCATAATCTGCCGTACATTCGGTCCATATTAATTTATCAACTATGATGGTACGAAAT